CAAGGTTCAAAATATCGATTCGCCCGATACACCGGTAGGGGTGTATAGGGCGTGTATCGGGCGATTTTGATACTGTTTTGATACTTTTTTTATTTATATTTTTCGAAACCGGTTCAAGGGGGCCGGTTTAAGGCTCCTCCACCCCCTGAACCGGTCAGAACCCCGATACACCCACTGTAGGGGCGTATCGGGGAGGTCCCGGAACGATACGTATTGGCCGATACGTGTTGATACTTTGAACCTTGGTTGTATGATGTACACGACCATATATGTAGTCAGAAATCTGTATTACAGTCTCCTCCCCCAAATCTACTTCATTGAACTTTGAATAGGCCTGGTCTTAAGCCCAAGCCTGAAGCAGTGTCAATGTTAATTCTGGCTAGCACATTGTGCAAGTTGCACTCCTAGTACATAGGCCTTTATAATAATTGTATTATGTAATATGCTGGGGTTTTAGGGCTCACACAACCCTGGCATATTCATCAGTCATTGGCTCAAAGGTTTCATCAATGACACATGTTATTGACTTTCTCTTCCAATGAAGAGATGGAAGGTCTCATGGAGATGCACTAGGGCAGCAGTTTTATGTATGGTTTTGGAAGAGAGAACACTAGAATATTCATAGAAGAGATCCATACCAAGGAAGTGGTAATTGCAAATATCATGGTAAAGGTGGCACATTGGGCTAAATCCTCCATCAATGGGCTTTTATAAAATTAAACTTTGATGTTTGTAGTTTGGACAAACCCGGTGATTCAGGTGTTGGAGATTTTAGGGATGACTGTGGTAACATAATGGCTATTTTCTTGGGATTCATTGGCCTAGGAAATTCAATCAGAGATGAAATATTAGCAGTTCTTCAAGACTTGAGATTAGGGGAACCCCTAATTGTAGGGATATTATAGTGGAAGTGGATTCAAGGGTATTTGTTGATTAGCTCAAAAACAACAAACCAGGTACGTCAAACATGCTAGTACAGACATAAATTGAGAGAGGAAAAATCTGGCTTAGGGTTCCAAGGGCTTTCTTTCACATGGAGTTAGAAATCTGCAAATAGCATGGAAGATGCATTGACAAAGCAAGGAGAGAACCACTTATATTGGGAACATGCTAATTTGGGGAGTATGGGAACATAAATGTGAATGGCCAAAAGTTGGGTTAGATAGCTAGTGCTAGATTAAAACCTGAAGGGTAGGCACATTTCTTATCTTTCACTCTTATCAGGTTCGTTTTACGTGTACTAAGACATTACACATTTAACAATCCAAGAAAAAAACTTTTGAAACTTTTGAAACTTTCAAGCCAATGAGTGAGGAATGAGAGACGGCTCACATGGCTTTTACCATGTAAGGACTCTCAACTGGAAAAGACTCAAAGAGCAATGTAATTGACTATTAACAGTTATTTATAAAAAAAAATATCAAGTATTTGAGTACAATTTGGAATGAGGGCATATGGCTTAGACTGGCCATCCTATGGGATGCTTGGCATCTTTGTAAATACTTCTTGTACTTTATATTATTCAATAGAGTTCTTTACCAATCAAGAAAAAAATATGTAATCACTTCATTTTATAGGGAGATTTGGTGGACCAATAGGTCCCTATATGTGATCGTAAATGCCAACACAATACCTTTTGCAGTTTTGCTATGTGGCAAAAGTGATCCTCGTCTAAGCTCTTTCCCACTAGAACTTTGAAACAACAGTGGACATTATAGAAGGGAATGGTCCACTATATGATGTGCCCAAAAGCTGATGCCCATATATGGAAATAAGACACATAACTACCGTACAAGGTCTCAGTCTAGTGCAGGGCACATTATTCCTCCACTTAGTGAAGAGATTACCTTACCCAGTAAACATTTCATACATGGCCAGCTCCACTGCTACAGAGCCCCAAAATGTTGCTGTGGCAGGTCCAAGCCCATCAGCAACTGATATCGGTCTACCCACAAAGAAGCCACCCATTCACTATGTCTATCACAGGCAGCTACATCAGATTGTTAGTTGGGATTTCAGAAGGCCCTTAAGGGATTGAGGTGATAAAAGCATGTTCTTGTTTTTTCTTTTTGTTAAACTACATTGTTATCCTTTATGCTAAATTGTGTTGCTTTTTTTTCTAGATATTGTTATGCTGGTATTCTATATAGGCATGCTTTAGCATAAGTTATAAGATGACATGAAAACGAAAAAAATTGTCTTGTTTAAGAAAAGGAAGAAATTTCATGATTGTGATATATTGCCTGATATTATTTAGTTGACTTCTACAGCAGTGGCCAGACAAAAACGGACCAGGAAAACATATTAGCACAGGCTCAACAGCATATAGCTATGGTCCTCCAGGCTGGCACTGGAAATTTTCCTGGAGCTATGGCAGCAGATAAAACTGCTGAGTTTCCAACTAAAGTTGTCTGCTTGACTGAGGTATTTAATTTAATTTTCTAACTTTCTTCTTTATCTTATAATTATTTAAATTATATTCACAAATCCGATTGTCTTGGTATTTTTGCAACTTGGGCATATAAATCTGAATTGGGCTACAGATCTTTAGGTTGAGTTGGGCTGGCATCTCAAGACCTTTTTGTTCTTGGGTTCGGAGGTCATGGTCAATTGGGCTTTAGGTCGTCAGACAATTTGAGCCTGGCATATGTTTTGTATTATATTGTGCACATTGTCTGCTTCATGTTTGGTTGGATTACAGGGGTTATTGGTGTTTATGTTGCTATGTAGTGGGTACACTTTATATCATAATTTCTTAGCTTTACTATTTTTTCTACATTATTTTTTGAAAGGGGGGAAGGGGGGGGGGGGGTCCTAAGGTATTCATAAATTAATTGCAGTCTCTGATCTATTTGTTTGTGGACAATTATAATGCCCTTTCCTGATGGTGCTATAACAAAAAGGTTGTTGGTGCTGATGAGCTGAGGGATGATGAAGAATATGAAGAAATATTAGAGGACATGAGGGAAGAAGGCAGGAAGTATGGTATGTCTAACTTGATCCTTGCTAAAAACCTAAAACTGGTATATTTTTTTTCAACTAAAATAATGTTTTAGCTGATTTTGTACATGTTTATATCTAATTTTATATCTTATAAGTTTGAGGTGGAACATGCCATAGCACCTATGCCTGCTATGCAGTTCATAAAATGACATCACAAATAAAGGGTACTCCAAATTTGTCTGAAAAGCTGTTTAAACTGATTGAACTAGATGAATAATTTTGAAAACCTAACAGAACTGGTCTCCAAAGCTGGTTGAAATTTGGAGATGATACCCTTCTATCTAGACAATTTTTTTAATACATTCAGTATATCAGTGATTAAAATTATTTGACCTGACTGGACTAAACAGGTTCCTTGGTGAATGTTGTTATCCCTCGCCCAAGTCCAAATGGAGAACCAACCCCAGGAGTTGGAAAGGTACTCTTTTCTTTCCTTTGGTTTTACATCTAATATTTCGCTTGGTTTCCAGATGTTTCAGTATATGATTGTGGGCATTTTAACTTCACAATTCTGGAAATGTTAACTGCTAAATGAAACCTATATGACCTTGATACAAGAAAGTTTGTTGATGTTGGCCACATGTGGTGAACTCAACTTGCTTGCATCTTGGCCACCTTGATACAACAATTGATTATTTTGTTTAACCTCTCCTTACTTGGGGAATCCACCATAAAGTGAAAAGTTGCTCAAGTGCTGGCAAAACAAATAATAAGGATTTGTAAGGAGATATATATGGACTCTTCCAAATGGATAAAGTGTCCATTAGGGGGTTTTCATGGGTTGGGCCAGGCCTGCAACTTTAAATTGTCATATTTAATATTATATATGTATATATGTACATATATGTGTTTATATCACCCCTACAACTTTAAATATGAAAATATGTAGTTATGTACATTATGTCATATTTTGATATTATATATACTGGGCCGGGCCGGGCCGGGCCGGGCCTGAGCTAGATGATCACCCCTAGTCCATGTTGAAATGCATTGGATTCTGACACTTTAGGGATAATTGAGGGACACTTCAACATGACATTTTCATTTTCTCTCCTTGCTCGTTTAACATAATTGAACAACTAACGTATACAATGGATGTCAAATTTCCTATAAAACACTATTTCATAACAAGCATAATCTTTTAGGGTTGTCCTTGTGATTTTTCTTTTCAAAATTTGGGACTACCCATGTACTTTTATTTAGTTAGAGACTGCTTAATACCTTCATAACATCTATGCAAATTCTGTGGTTTTGCTACAATCGGCTCAATAATGTGATTGGACATTGATTCAGGTGTTTTTGGAGTATTCAGACATTGGTGGTTCTTCCACGGCGAAGAATGCGCTGAATGGTAGGAAATTTGGGGGAAATACGGTCACTGCCATTTACTGTCCTGAAGATAAATATTCTAACAGAGACTACGAGGGATAAATTGATTAGGGATCACAGGTACATTTATTGCTATGTAGCTTGAATTGCAAAAAGTATATCCTAAAAATCTCGGTAATTGTAGAAATTTTCCGAGCTAATTGTTATTGTTGTCATCTTAAATATATCACAAATATAGCATGTTTGTCTCTGAACAAGAAACATTTTCTTGTGAAGACAAGTTTTCGGGTTTGGCCATCTTTTCGGCCTTCGGTTGGAGTTCTTAACGTTGTTGAAGACTATTGTGCTTGTAATTTTGGGCTGTTGGAAATTGGGATGGTTCACTTCTCTTTGTTGAATCAGGATTCAAGAGTCCATTTTATGGAAAGCTCTCATCTGAGGGCCACTGGCCCAGTATGGTTGAATTATATAGGAGCATGATCGGGCCATCCGGAAGGTGACTCCTGGCTGGATGATCCATGGGATCTGGAGGTGCTATATATGGCAGCACCACACAATTATCTTTAGGATGACCTAGTATCTAGGGGTCAAGTGCTTTTCGGGCATTGACATTAAGGGTACAAAAATTGATTCGGGTTAGTGGGCTGAAGTTCGGGTTCGGGTTGAAACCATGAATTCGACTTTTCAGTTGGGTTAGGTTTAACTTTGAAGGTAGCAATTTTCTAATCTATTTCAAGTATGATACTCTTAATACCACCGTAACATTGTGCATGTACATTATAAACCTTAATCCGTTGATATTAAACCCAAAAAAAAAATAAAAAATGAAGTGGAGACTGAGCCAACCCAACCCAACTCGAGTCCAACCCTTATTGGGAGTTCAACAATTCCGGTTGGGTACTTGGGTAAAGGTTCATATCGACACCCTCATTTATACTGAAAAAAAGAGTAACGAATTTTTCAAAGCCTCGATATGATGCTATACTTTCTTCGGTAGTCCATTCCAGAAATGGTTACTACTGTACAATATTATACTTCACCAATGGATGCCAAATGCTGGGCAATCCTGAGAGGTGTAACTTGTAAGAAAGCTCCACAAACTCAACTTCACCTCTGTCGCTTTGAAGCACAACCACCTTTTAGCAAGTTGGAGCATACGAGGAGACGTAATCGATGGCATCAGACAGGACCTCTATTTTTTTGCTGGTTTCTTTGTTATGCATGTAAAAAGAACTGAAAACCAAATAGCTCACTATCTGGCTAATAGAGCCTGTAACAGATAAGACTCCTTTTTGAATCCTCTTTAATGCCTTGGCATGCCTTGATCCTGAGAAGGCTCTTCTGTTAGTTGTTTGTTCGTTTCTTCTTTAGTTGTTCTTAATAAAATCCTTAGCTTACCCCCCTCCCCCCCCCCAAAAAAAAAAAAAAAAAATCTTGGACCGATTTGCACCCCTAATTGACATGGCAAGAGAAGATCAAGAAAGGGCATGGTTTGGCTGAAATGGCATGTAAGCGTTGTTTGTAGTGCATGTTTTGTTTGCATTATTGGTGTAAATGCATGGGAGTGCAAATGGACTGATTGTAAATACTGGTTTATTTTGGGTTTGATTGTTTGGCTTGTTTGGAAGTAAACCTGTTCATGGCTAGGCTTTGGGATTGGTCCATGAACATTTTACACTGTTGCAGGCTTGGGCTTCAGGCCAGGCCTATTTAAAATCTGGCAAATTTTCAAAATGAGACCAGCCCATGACAGGTTTGGGAGGAGTTAGATAGGAAACAAAATAGTTGCACTCCCATGAGAGAGAAGCAAGGTGTGAAGTGAAATTTTACATCGATTTTTTATATACAAAATTTGCATTATCAATGAGTGCAAATTTTGTATGAGGTAACAATGCAAATCATGGTTATAGTAAATAAATGCATCTGGTTCACATTTATGCTGCAAACAGGGCCTTAAAGCTACCAAAAAATGGAACTAGAGGTGTAATGTATGCTGAGCTGGTTGCGGGTCGGCACAGCCCTGATGCTACAGTACCGTGCTGGGTACGGCATGGGAATCCAGGTTGTCTGGCCAAGGCTGCGGAGTGGACCGGGCCTCCAAAGCATGACCCAGCATGGACCCAACATGTGAGCCGGCATGGCATGGCACATGCGTGGCCCGTGGCAGAATATAGCTGTTCGGGGGTCCCAACAGCTATATTTGCTTTTTACAGCTATAAATTGCCATTAGGGGCATTTATGTATTTTTATAATTGGGGGCAAACAACAACTTAAATGCCTATATAACAGCTAGCTTAGGGGGGTATTTAAGCCAAGTAACATAAATAACTAGTTTTGAAAGTTATTTTGGTCAAATTAACCCCAGGCCCCAATTCCTATAAAAACTCCTACCCTCCCTCGTTCTCATTACAACAACTATCATATTCTCTCACATTACATTATATACTCTCATACTCTATTACTCTCTATAAAAGCTCAATTCAGCAATGCCAGGTCTCTCTCTAGTAACTGCCACAGAAGGAGAGAATTATAATGGAAATCTCTGGAAAGGGGAGAAGAAGAATAGTTTGTGAAAAATGCAAACATGATTTTAAATGCTACAGCAGTGGTGGCATTGGCCATTTGTATAGACACATGGCATCTCACTTAAAATAGGGAAGATGACGAGAGCAACTTTTTTTTTTTTTTGAAAATCCGAGGAAAGCAACTTGAATGAATGAATGATCAACTCCATTATATTAAAATTTTAATATATTTTTTGTACACATTAAATTTAAAATGACAATTCTTTCCAACTTATTGTTGATTATTCATGTTAATTTTATGTTATTATATATTTTTTTCTAATTTTTCTTAGTTTAGGAAAAGTGGAAAACAGCACTAGAAATCTAGAACCTGTAACCGGAGGCTCAGCCTGCCATTTCCCGGCTCCTCAGGCCCAACACATCACGGCCCAGGTTCCCAGCCATGCCGGGCCTGACCTGGTAGGGTACCATGCTACCCAAGCATGGCCCGCCAAGGCCCGAGGCCCAGCCCAGCCTGGCATGGATGGCATCCGGGCCACCTTCAATCCGTGCCATTCTGGCTCAACACAACCCACATTATATATTTAAATGGAACAATAGGGATGTCATATGTGTCAAAAACAAAAAGGGTTTTTTACTGTTCAGTCCATCCCTGGAAATCTTAGCTCCACCGTAAAGTGGAATGAGTTCTGACTGTGAATCGATACTAAATCGACGGGTAGGATGCAGTTTATAGGGAGGCTAATAGTAGATTAAGAAGGAACTGTAATTTCAGATTTATGAGATGGAGTGCAGTCATCCCAAAACAAAATACGTCCAATCCATGAGTTCTTTTTGGTTGAGGATAATCTGAGATGATGATGATGATCCCCTCTATCCAAGAATGTTAAGATGCTTGTTGGGTCGTGGGTGGGATTTATTGTTCAAGCTGAACCATTCTCATCGTGAGAGGCTTGATCTTTGAAGAAGTTGTCACCCCCTCAGCCTCCGAGATGAAGAACTGAACGAGTGTTGCAGCTCCTATGTGGCCATACTATCACTCTACTCGATTTATGATTCAGCAGCATGGATAAGATGCTCGGCACGATATCACAGTCGAAAAAACCAAATCGACCCAATTATGGTAATGAGCTGGGGTTGTCAGCGGATGACGCCCTATCTACTACGGTCCATTATGTGCTTTTGTCCATTCAATTACCCTTTACCATATTCTGTTTGACAAGGTCTGTCTGCTGTGTCCATCCACATCTGTATTTCATACAAACCCTTTCACGATTTTTGAAGCAAAAATGTATGCTGCCCATCTGATTTACCTGTACCACTTATTTCTTGGAAGAATGACCGATCTTCAAAATTTATAGGCTCAAAGTATTGTGGGAGTATGTGTCAGTTCGGAATTGATGCTAATTTACGGGCGGGCATTGGTGTATAGAATGTGGATTGTGGACCTTTTGAATGTTTATAGTTCTACAGTGGAAATCAGAAATCTGCATTGGATAAATTCGTACTTCACTTATTTCTTTATTTTCTTTTTTATTTTTCTATAGGAAAGAGATCGTTTTAAGCAAAACATATATGAATTTATGTTTCTAATTAAAAATTTATTCTTTTGCAACATTTTGATTTTTTATCAAATTAAAAGTTAAAATTACTTTTACAGAATAAAAACTTATTCAGCAATGAAGTATGGTTTGGGATAGATGGATTAAGAAGTAGGGTTTATTATAGATTTAAGAAAAAATAAATATATATTTTTTAATTTTAGGAGTTGGAGGAGTAGAGAGTGATCCTTTATATTTAGTTCAAGCTTTTTATTTCTTTCTTTCCAATCTCGACTAAGTAACCATATGAATAATGGTTTTAACAAAAAAGGTTTGGGGGGGGGGGGGCAAGGACCCCAACCAATATACTTGACTCTGCCTCTGCAGCAGCCTCAAGTTGCAGCTTAAATTTTAAGTTGAATGGTTCTTTGTCTCACCCGTCAACTTAAGTTTTCCTTAAGATGGTATTACAGTTTGTTTGACTAAGTCGTCTAATTCCATTATAATTAATTAAATTTTCACACAAGGTATGAATGGTGCTTTGTTTTTCCAAGTCCAATGGGCTTTTTGTGTGAAAGGCATGTTAAAGAACAAAAACCTATTCATGGGACCTCACCTAACAGCTTAAGCTCTTAGGTTGAATGATTCTTTGAGAATTCTAAACAAACTTTACTTTTTTTTAGGCTGTGTATGAGTTTTCCTACCTTTTTCCTTCAAACCAAATACAGCTTTTAAGGTTTTTCATTTCTCATTTGAATTTTGAAATGCCTATTTTCCTGTTTTATTAAATGAAGTTTTAATTCCAACCTTTTACTGGTTTAATTTGGTTACAGAAATCATGTTTTTCATAATATGGTTAGTCAATTTCTAATTAGATTTCTTGCCAAGTTAGGTTGGAATCATATCCTGCTTCTTGGCCTTTTCTCCTCATAATTGTAGAGTATCCTGCTTCTTGACCTTTCATTATCCACTTGTTCTATATGGTGGAATTATTATTTTATACCTAATATAAAACAAACAATCTCAGTTGACTTGTCATTTTCTTCCTTTTTCGATGTTTTGCTTCTCATCAATATACGTTCATTTTTAATCTTATCCCTGATATTGCCATTCTCTGAAAATCCTAATCCTGGATTTTTCTTATTTATTTATTTTGAAAACCTAATCCTGATTATCTTCATTCAATAGATACAATCATTTTCCTTTTCTTAGGTCAACCAAATATGTCTTGTTTGATTTGTTTGGTTATGTCCATTCAATTCCTGCAAAAGAACAAAAGAAGCCATCCTCTTTAAGAGCTTCTAAGTTTTCAGTTTTCACCCACATCCATAAATAAATAAATAAAAAGAATGGCTAAATATTTGGATACCGTGCTTGAACACGGATCTCCTTAAGTTAAAAATCATGTAAACATTTTGAAAGCACAACATCCAATTAGACATGGGGAATATCTTTCATACATATATGTTAAATTTATGAGAAAATGGTCTCGATGTATAACAGAAAGATATGATATCTGAAAAAATTTTAACCAACTTGTATCATAAACGTGATACCCAATAATGTATTATTTATCAAAATTCATGAATGTGTTTTAATTGATCAAAAAACTCTTCCAATACCATATCTTTTTCAATCATAGATTTTCCCTTCAGAAAATCCCATCTCACTACGATTGGGAATTGAGTGGGTGGAATTAGGATTGTGAAACCACAACAATTATGAATTATATGGGTATGGCGGCTAAACCATTTGGTCCATCGCTGAAGCCCTAAATTGATTTGGATCAAATTTCGGTCTAACATGCACGATTTTAGCTAATAAAGTTTCAATAGTCAAATTGGTTTCGCGACTACTTTTGCATCGTTTGAATTGTAGAGGTTTCTCAAACTATTATCTACCAGTCAGTACTCATGATTATCGTCTATTGTATTCCTTGAGAATTTTATTAATGAATCCTACCTTGTGGCTTAAAAGAAAAAATAAAAAACGAATATCCAAAAAAATTGGTCGAACCGCTTAGGCCGTGAACAGCCCAGCTTTAGGCTTACCATCTGATGTCCCAAATCCCAATGGTCCAATGGGATTTATGACCGAGTTCATTTTGCTACCAGTGTCGCAGCACAGGGTTAAATTCGAAAATCAAGGCCTTTGGTTTATGGCTTTGGCTATGGCCCCGCTAAAACGTTATTTTATTTAGCGCTGTTCACGGGTTGGTTTATTGAGATTTTTTTAATCGATTTGACTTGATCAGGTTACCTAAAATTGAAACCGAAACCGATCCTGTGTTAAGCAAAACCGACCTGGCCGATTGGGTCAGGTTGGATCGGTTTGGGCCGATTTTGGCTCTAAGTTCAACCATGCTTGAGAGTCAAATTGTATTAGAAATTGTACTTGAGTTGAGGGGCTAATGGGGGTAGACCAAGTTAGAATAGAAGTTATCAAGAAAATAGAAAGTCAAAMTGTATTAGAGAAAGAAGACTGAAATTTGTATATTTCAAGAAACCTTCTAATCTAAGTAAAAAATAACACCTAATTATAATTATAATTGGTTGCCTATTTGGTGTAAAAGACCATAGAAATTAGGATCATTTGATTCTTTTTTTTTAATTTTTCTAAAAAAAATCATTGTCTAATTGTTTTACAATACTTGTCATTAATGTCATTTTTAACTAGAAGACTAGAAATTAAGTTAGGTTGTAACTAAGATAGAGACAACTTAGTTAAGTAGGAACTAAGTATGTTGTAACTATTAACTAGGAATTAACTACTAACTACTAGGTCGGTTTGGTTCGGGTCGGTTTCAGTTTTCACACATGAAAACCGAAGCTGACCTGAACCATCGGTTTATAATTTTTTACAACCCGAAACCGACCGATATTGAAGAAAGCCTGGTCAACTCGGATTGGGTCAGTTTGGGTTGATCGGTTTGGTCGGGCTGGGTCTTCTTATGAACAGCCCTAATTTTATCTATTTCAAGATATGGTTGTCAATGGGTCGGTCTACCCAGTAGACCTGAACCATTTGAACCATATTTATCCGTTCTGATTCTATGATTCATTCTGATGGATCAGTTCTGATTTTAATTTATGTGTCTCGATTAATACCGGTTTGGGATTGGTTTTGACTGTCCCAAACTGATTATATATACATGTTTTAGAGTTATACGTATGCCTAAAATTGTAATTTTACTTTTTACACTTAACCTCAAGCTCAAAAGTTTTTGGTCTTTACCCTTTTGTTTTGCTTTTGCCCGTTGAGGTTTTAACTTCTCTCGTCACTTTCTCTTTCTTTGATAAAGTTTCTCATCATTATCTTTGTGTCTCACCGATTCTCATTCACCACCGTCTCCTATACACCAAGCTCTACCATGGAGAAAGAAAAAGAGAAGACGGTCGGGTAGAAGAAAAAAAAGCTTATCACAGTTTAAATGCCACCAATGTAGACTTGGGACTAGGAGTAACAGATAAATGAACGGCTAATAAGTGGGCTCTAGATAATCACTGGATATTTCAATTCTTGAATAAGTAGGCAGTCTAATTTTAAGATCACTCGGTATATATAGGTTTGCTTAATTTTTTCCCATTAGCTTCAATTTAATTGCTATTATTCTGATTTTAGTAAGGTTAAACTGAAATTATATAAGACTATAGGCTGCTGATTTTTAGAAAAATTATATCACAGGTTTTTTTGACAAATATCTTGCTGATATTCTGATAACAAGTTATTGAATACAATGTTCTTTTCTTATCAAATTAGCATCAAGTAAGCCATTTGTTGCTTTGTATTCATTAGTAATATTAATTAATTAATTAATATAGAATATTTTATCAAAAACTACAGGTCTCACTATATTAAGTATGGGTTTTTATTTATAGGGTGTTTGGTTCTGTGGGCATTTATTCAATAAATGTTGAGACATAGGCGTCACTTCAGCAATTTCCCCCTCTTGCTCTTCTATACGCATCGAGAATGACAAAAGTGGACTTCGATTTTTGTGCACGCCTACCATTTGGGGAAGTTATTTTTTAAAGCTTCCATAAACAGTCAGGTGTTTTTCAATTGTTACGCTGATGTAGAGCCTAGTGGCGCCTAATTGTCATAAACGGTTGTAATTATCACATTTATCAGTTTTGCAAGCAAATAAAGTACAAACGTTGAATGAAAAAATGTAAATGGAACCAAACACATACTTAATCGAGTTAAACCTGATTATTCCAATTGGCTCGTTGGTTTGGTACCGGTTGTGAAATAATAAAACCGATTGGGTTTGGTTCGGTTATGATACTGTCGATTTTAGCAATTGGTTTGGAACCGTTCTACCCTATCCCAAACCAAACCCAAACCGTTGACAACCCTAAATCAAGATAGTGCCACATCAAAAAAGCTTTAGGCCCCATTTAGTTCGCAAGAATAAAGGTCCGGAATTGGAACCGAAATAGGTTATTCCCATTCATGTTAGAATGGCATTCCCCCATTTGTGGGAATGGTAGTGGTGCAAAATCCGATCCTATTTGGTCGAATTTGGATAACCCCCGTATCCAATCCGATGTATTATATATTTATAAATATAAATATATATTGTACATATATATGTTATTTATTTAATTATAAATATATTGTTTATATTATATTTTTATAAATTTATTATATTATTTATTTTTTTATAAAAAACATATATATATATATATATGATGAAAATAATTAAAAAAATACTTGTATAATATTTTTTGTTTTTTTATTTAAATTAGCATATATTTTTTCTTTTAATAATATATTAATTTATAAAAAAAAACAAGTCGAATCAAATCAGATCCAATGATCCGATAGGATTCGAATTCAAATAGAATCATTTGCATCCCTAGGGAATGGCCATTTCCTCCCCCTCCGTTAGAATGAATTTCCATTCCTGTCTGAATGGACCATTTCAATTCCAATTCAGACTGCGAACAAAACGGACCCTTACTTTTGTTTCTGTCAACGCTACGATGGCAAAATGTGATTATTCACCACATCAGTTCGAAGTTGTCTTACGGAAAATAGACCAGATGAGGTGGAACCCAGTCATCTGTGGCTGATGATCCTTTGCGCTCGCTCTGGATATCCGTTGCGTGTCTTGAATCAAACTTGCACGTCCTTTTAGCTCGACGTTTCCCTTCTCTTTCAATTTTTTCGCTTCTCGATTCCCATTCATTCCAAAGGTAGAATGGGACCCACCGCACACCACTTTGAACTCTTACTAATCAAATACGGTTGGCGCAATTTGCAGAGACCGGGCGCCTAACACTGATGGCAACATCTCCCGTACGTATACGTTAGTATTCACGGGAGATGTTCTTAATGCATGGTGAGATGTACCTGTAACGCGCCCGATGTGAGGAGCAGATTTCAATTTGCAATTTCAGGAGGATTTGTCAGGGCCTATACTTTTTCCACCTTACCCTCGTACTTTCCACTTTTCTAGGACAAGTAAATCTCAACCGTTAGATTAATCGACCGAAAACATATCATCATCGATTCACCATAATTCGTGATCTACATATGGCCCACAAATAATGGTACGGTCTAGATGATGTCTTACGGGGCGTACCGTCCGCTTTATTTGATTTGACGCGTAGAATTGTAGAAAGCTCTTTCTAGCCACGTGGCGTACATGCAATTTTCTACTCAGTAATGACGTGTAAAGTGCGGCCAGAGAGGGGAGAAAGTGTTATAAATAAAGGGAAGAAGACATCGTAAAGATTCTGGGTTGGTCACGTGGTATTGTCGGACGTCTGACGTGGCAACTTCAGCGAACACCCGCGTCCCATCTATCCATTCCATCCACAGATTAGTCCACATACGGTGAGTCGCTTTGAGTAAAGCGTGGGCTGTGCTGACTCGGTGCATCGTCACAGTGCTTCCCTCGGTTGCCGGTTCTGGATAAGTCTCCCGTCTCCGACACTTAATTCTTATCCACTCTTTTCTAAAATTAGAAAAAACCTCTATTCGTGCATCGTTATGCACGCTGAGTAGCCTGTATTATCCTTAATCAATAGCATCGAAAGAAATCTCGTGTAGGGACCACTCGGCAGATTGGGTGGGTACGGAGTGCTGGAGTAATAATTGATACACGAGAGAGCATCAGAGGCTCAGAGCAACGTGTCGTGATAATGATGGATTAGTTCTATCAAAAGAAACGAAAACAGAAAAAATTAGAAGAAAGGATGTCGAGAAATCGTTAATCTTATCTCTCTACTCACAGTGAGACATCGGTTTAATATGACCGACTGGATAATTTTGCCACGCCATAGCTGTACTCTATCACCCTCCAACTATATATATACTCCAGGACGACTCCTCTTTCCATTCTTCATTGCTTGCTTGCAGGAGAAGTTAAAAGGCAAAGAAATTCAATTCTCTGGATTCTTATATTGTGTTTGCTTAGTGAGATAGAAGAAGAAATGTTGGCGATATTTCACAAGGCGTTTGCTCATCCTCCACAGGAGCTGAACAGCCCTGCCTCATGCAGGGTGGCTAGAAAGCTTAAGACACCAGAGGAGACTCTCAAGGAGTTCCTCTCCTCTCACCCCCATAATAACTTCTACATGAGCTTTGCTGACGCAGCGGTGTTGGCGTACGCTCGCCCCGGCCGCTCCTACTCCATTTACCAGAGGTACGTACGACGTCTCTGGTCTCTGTTTGGTTTAGTTTGATCTAATGGTGAAGCTACTAATGAATGAGATATCTTGAGGAATTAATGGGTTGGAAAACTAATTAACTAAGGGGGTATTTATTTGCAGGTTGTTCTGTGGATTTGATGACATATACTGCCTGTTTCTGGGGAGCTTGAACAATCTATGCACCCTCATCAGGCAGTATGGCCTGTCCAAGAATACCAACGAGGCGATGTTCGTCATCGAGGCCTACCGCACTCTCCGAGACCGTGGGCCTTATCCGGCCGACCAGGTCGTCAAGGATCTCGAAGGCAGCTTCGCTTTCGTCATCTACGATAGCAAGGCCGGAACCGTCTTTGCTGCACTGGTACGATCTGCCACCATTCTTCTCTCTCTTTCTCTATCTCAGACAAAAACACAAGCACATTATTGATAACGGCTTGATTTGCGGTTGTGATGAATGGTGATGTGCAGGGGTCGGATGGAGGGGTCAAGCTGTTCTGGGGCATTGCAGCGGATGGGTCGGTAGTAATTTCAGACGATGTGGAGGTCATTAAAGGAAGCTGCGCCAAATCCTTTGCGCCTTTCCCCACAGGTACGTGACGTGAGGGGCATTTTGGTCATAACATGTAAAGGATCGGGGCTATAGCTCACAAATTACATCTTTGTTTACATAATAAGATACTACAACCTCAACATGCTTAATTAATAAAATAAGAAAGTAATGGCAAAATTACTAAAATAGCCCTTAAGTTTTAATGGTGGGTGGGACCGTGTGTAGGATGCATGTTCCACAGCGAGGGAGGGCTGATGAGCTTCGAGCATCCGATGAACAAGATGAAGGCAATGCCAAGGGTGGATAGTGAAGGAGTCATGTGTGGGGCCAACTTCAAGGTTGATGTATGTTCCAAGATCTACAGCATGCCACGTGTCGGAAGCGAAACCAACTGGATGCTATGGGAATCACATTGACATAGATGGCAGACATTGCTGTATTATTTGTAGTTGTGTGGCATGTTTATGTGTAAAGTGTAATGTGTATGGGGGGTTTGGGTGGATGTGTAATTTCTCTCTTTAATGAGTAGAAATATGAAATAACATTTCTTTTCTCTTTGATTAATGGTGGAAACTGGAAATTGTTAAGGAAAGAAGTAGGTTTGCATTGCAAATGACGACGATTACTTTTTTTAAATCCTGAATTGTAGCAATAAAATAGCAAGTGCTCCCTCTTTTGCATCGGATGCGTCGATGTGACACTGAATTGATTCGCCCATTAATTACCAACCATTCTTACACCGGTAGAATTCATTGAGGGCGTTATATCCTTTATTTTTTTTGCGTTTGGTAAGAATATAGATGTAAATATGATTAGTGATTAGAATCTTATCTTTGTTTTTTACATTGATCAATTTTGAGTGTAAAGTTTGCATTTATTTCTTGGAATTCAATTTTGCATTCATTTTGATTGCGAACATATTAGAAAAAAACAAATTGTTGTCATTTTTAGTATAGAAATGACTCTTTCGCTCAGTTTCGAAAGAGTACAAAATCTTATATTTTGTATCATTTTGTATCTATTTGCAATGTATATATAGCCTTTCATTAAGACTCAATTTATTTAAATCATAATTTGTTTTTCTTCAGATTTGACTTTGTCTTATTTGTTCATAATTGGTAAAATAATGATAGTAAGAAAAGATGCAAATTTTGTATAGTTTTTGAGAGTCAAAATTTATTTTTTCAATGAATATAAATGAGAAAAAAATACAAATTTTATATGATAAGAATGCGAATCATAATTATAAACAAACATATTCAAAACTGAACTAAGTTAAAAATTTATATCCAGTTCAGATGCAAGCGGTTTAAAGGAAAAAGTAATAAATTCCAAGTTTTCAACACAGCCCAAAATGTACAAAGCAAGCCTGAACTCCTGATGATTTGAATTTTTCAAGTTTTCAAACAAACAAAGCGAAAAGAGTCGTGCAGGGTGTGACTTGTGAGCAATCAGCTAAGTGACGCTGGGCACCACTAGAAAACGTAGTAATCAACTCCGCATTGGACATTTGGAGATAAGACAAGATAAAACTTTAGGATTAATGAAATCGAACTTAACTAAAATACTAAACAGGCAATAATTAAGTGGCCGTTAAGTGCAGTGGCTTTTGGCTTTCTGAGATTGGTCCTACATAGACAATAGATATTCATGGTCGGGCTCGGGTTTGGGTTTCGCCAACATTTGAATGGGCCCGTCCCGAAGCCTGAAGCCCAACCCAAAAACAGGTCTAGCGGACAGTTTTAAGTATGCTCCTTTTTTGGACTGTCCGTTGGGCCTCTTTAGATAGCTTACTTGAATGCCTCAATAACAGCTGAAACAGCTTAGCTCTGATTGTTCAGCTCAGCCCTGCCAAACGGGCACTATCCATCTTCCAATCCGGATGATGGTGGCTTGATGAATACAGATTAAGGTACGATCACAAAAGTGCGTTTTGGTTTTGCTACAAATATTTGGACCATATATCCTAAAAAATTTTAGCTTTCTTGATAAAGAACCTTTTCGATCATTAAGAGGTGCCTAAATCACCCTTCCTAAACATAATAGATTTTTTAATTGTTTCTTTTAAGGTTTTAAAAATCGGATCGGACACGGAACCGTTATAGGACCAGTTCCTGAGTTGAATAGTAGTTCGAAAGGGTTGAACAGTCCGATCATCTGCTTCGAATGGACAGCCTATTTTGACTTAAAATGAATAAATAAAATAAAGCTGACAAAACCCGTTGTTTGGGTCAATGGGTCAATGGGTTGGTCGCTCGGATCAGCGAGTCACTGACAAGATCAACAATTTTTTAGACAAAAAAAATGGTTTTAAGGTGAAACAGAACCGATTACCTAATCAATTCCAGGGTCAACCGATCTGACCGACTAATCCAGTCCGGTTTTCAAACCATGGTTTCTTTGGTCTATAAGCTTTTTCTTTAACGTCTAATTTGCTTCCAATACAATTTCATTTACACTGGTTTAAAAACGTATGAAATCAAATGGGCTGAAGAGAAACTCTGTTTTACTTTTGTTCTAAATTCTATTTTGTTTTGTTTATTTACATTTTACACGGTGAATGAAGTACAATAAAAACTGATGAAGGGTGATTTAGTCCTCCAATGACATTGTGACACATGGCATGATAGGATTGCCGCATGATACCTTAGCGTCATACGAACAATCGCGGGTCCCACTAAATCAAGGAGGCACATCCCTGACCAATCTGAGCACCTCGTATACAGCTCGGGCACCTTGAGAGAGCGGTTAGCAACACTTCGTCCAAGGTCGACTTGTGGTACCTCGTCAGTATTGGTTTGAGGGAGGGACCTCGACAGGAGGAGCGACCTCCCCCGATGCACTTATCAGACTAGCTGAGGTCCAAGTGGTGACCTACGAGATGTGCTCGCCGACCTCCTCTACGTGAATCTTTTCACTCCCGGGTCCTTTAGAAATCAGCTTCCACACCAATCATTCCAGAGGCAACTGGATAAGGCACGAAAGCCTAGTCCGTGTGCGAAACAACCTCCAAGGACTTTGGATCGGTAAGTCACATCCTCCTAGGGATCTCAGACGTAGTGCTTGAAGCTCACACCAATAAGGTGACCCCATTTTCTAAGAAAGGTATGTGCAACTTAGCATTCATAGCACTCTAGCTCTTTCGCTTTTAGTTCTCTCAACACTCTTCGCTAACTTAAGCATCAAAGTGTCTATCCTAACTATAGAAATCTGGACACTCTGATCTCTCTCTCTTGCAACTCGACCAGACAACCTACTCAATATGACATCCAAGGTGTCCACCAACAGAAAACACTAGATCGCACATCATAAAAAATTTAAGCAAAATAAACAAAAATATGAAGCAAAAGCAACAAGTTGTCCATGAGCCTAATTAAAAGCAGCAAGTTGCTCTTTATTTTGGCCTCACGAGACATCAAGTTACACATGTATAATGGAAAACCTAATGACATGCTGACTGCTAGTACATGAAAATGCAGAAAAAAAAAAGTTGTAGCAAATGAAACACTTGACTGCTGTAGGAGTCTGTCTAAACAAGCAACTGAGGTTGATAGCCAAAACCTCTTGCTTTTTTCTCTGGAATCGGCGTATTCCCCCTGTTTTAACTAATTGCCTGTCCTCTTAAATTCAAGTCATAGAGCCTATGCATCACCTCTATGAACTTGAGATGAAGATAAACAGGCAAAACTGATAAAAATAGGAAGAATAAACAGCAATCCGGCTGTTTATCTGCTGCTGCTGTTAACATAAACAGCAAGACATTAAAAGCAATCCGGCTTTTTGTTTTTATGCCCATGAACTTTTCCCACATCCCTACCCACAAAATGTTACTGCCGTGAATTGGGAATATCTGCCTAGTGTTTTTAAAACCGGATTAGACTGGGAAAACCAGGAACCGATCAGGTCTTCAGTTTCATTTCACCCTAAAATCGCTTTTTGGCCAAAACTGTTGATTTGGTCATTGAATCATTAACCCAGGTGGTTGAATAGTTGAACCATTGACTCGGATAATATTTTTTGACCTTTTATTTTTTTTGTTAGAGTGGGCCATCCATTTGGTCCGAACGATCACACCATTCGACCTGAGAACGGTCAGAACGGTTACTTGCCCGGTCCGGTTTTAAAAACCTTGCATTTTCCCATGAATGAAAAGAATTTATAGGCAGGAGATCCGAGCTCTAATAAAAGAGGATGGAACGTGTTAGTTGCAAATTGCAGTGCTAAACAATAATGGATGACAAAAACCTTCAAAAAATAAGCCATTGGATCATTTGCTTCTGAATAACATAGCCAGTAATTGTACTGCCATACAACCTTACATCATTAAACTTAAACCTATCTGGAGTTAAGAATTGAAACGTTACAAAACGGCGCCTAAATTACCAGTACTTTACCTCATTTACGACTCTTGTAGATAATTTGATCTTTACCGTGTGGACATAATATACGAATCGCGGGTTGTTTATTCTTAGTTCCATAAATGGAGTGAGCTTCTCCAAAAAAAAAAAAAAAAAGGAAAGAAAAAAATGGGGCCAATATCGATATGGGTTTGATTACATCCAATCCTATTAAAATCCAAGTCCAATTAAATTTAATGAATTGGCCTCATCAGGCTTCCGAAAATAAGGTTACTTGTAATCAAACGACAAACCGAAATTTTGGAGTCCATTTGGTTCATGGGAATAAGAGTTTGGAATTGGAATTAAAATCTAACTCAATTCCAACTATTTGGCTAGGTAGAATTTCCAATTCCAACTGTTTGGATGGACAGAAACAGAATTTGATTCCCATTTTTGGTAGAATGGCATTCCTCCAATCTTCTATATGACTAAGGGGTTATTCTATAGTGTGGATGAGAAATTGGTGGGTGTGAACTAGTCCACACTACACCCTGTAGTAGGGACTAATCCACACTACACTATAGTCCACAACTGTTCTGAACTGTGGATAAACTGTATGAACTGGACCAGTCCACACTCATAGTGGTGTTTTGTAGTGTAGTGTGGACCGAAATGAATGATATACATAATTAATCATAAATATGTAATTTTTGCATTTTGTATGATAAATATTTAAAAAAATGCATCAATGAATTAATATTAATAAAAAAATATCAATTTCTTTTTTATAAAACAACAGTAAAATAATTAAAACATATATAAAATACTTAAAAGATATTATTTTATTGATAAAAATATTAAAAAAATAAAAATTAAAGAATTTAGTAAGACAATTAATATTTTATTGACAAAAATATTAAAAATAATATTTAAACAATTGATACGAGAAATATTTTGTAAGATAACCACGACATCTAACGATTTATACAAACTAATAATCCACTTATTCCCGTACTAGTTGTAAGGCAAGCATAATGACAAAAAGTAGCACTGTTTGATTAGAATTCATTTGAAATTTAGAATTTCTTCACCAATCCCGGTCTCAGAAAATTGGGTTTCTCTAAGAAATAGAATTAGTGCTTGTGGGTCAAAACCAATATCAATTCTAGGGAAAAATCTCTGTGGCTTCTGAGAAAACGATTGTAAGCAGGAATGAAAAATGTCTCTGGGCTTAATATGGAAGAAGAGCAAATTGATTTGCCTCCTGGTTTCAAATTCCACCCCACCAATGAAGAGTTATAACTCACTACAAGGTGGTCGACAGCAGCTTCTATGCTATAGCAATTGGAGAGGTAGACTTGAACAAGTGTGAACCTTGGGATATGCCATGTAAGTTTTTTGAAAGAGATTTTGTCTCTCTCTCTCCAGTGTTTGTTCCTGGATATGAATTATGTTTTAACTTTAACATTTGTGTTTTGTTGAATAAAGGGAGAGAAAAAATGGGAGAGGAGTGGTACTTCTTCTACATTAAAGACAGAAAATGCCCAACTGGTTTGAGGACCAACAAAGCTACTGAAGCTGGTTACTAGAAAGCTACAGGAAAGGATAAGGAGATTTACAGAGGGAAAAGACTTGTCAGAATGAAGAAAACTCTGGTTTTCTACAGAGGAAGAGCTCCAAAAGGAGAATGGGTCATGCACAAATATAGGCTAGAGGGAAAATTCTCTCTGTCTAACCTACCAAAATCAGCCAAGGTAGAGTGGAGAGCTCTTCCTCTGCTTTCCGTTGTTCATCGACAATGTTATTGTGTGGTCCTTGATGAGTTCTTTTTCTGGTGTCGTTCGTTCTTTTATAGAACGAGTGGGTGATATGCAAGGTGTTCAACAAGAGCTTAGGTGATAAGAAAATTCAAGACTGTCGTTCGATCGTTTGTTCTTTTTCTACTGTCATCAGGTGAGAAGAAAATTCAAGACTGCATGAAACACATTATCAAAGGCAACCCGTGGAAGAAACCCATCCACGAGAAGAAACTGTTGTCGAGAAAATAAGGTGTGGACCGGTCCTGTCCACAATGAACCGAATGCTGGCGTGGATCGAAATGGTCCATCCACGAGATGAAAACAGTACCGAACAGCACCTAAATAGCTATTCCTTCCCCCTCACATGGGAATGAGAATTCATTCCCTATTGATGGGAGCAAGGTTTAAAATATTGCAATGTGTCAGGTCGTATTGGTTGATACATATCATTCCGATAGGAAATTGATACACAAAACATGTAAAAAATCATGTGTTCCATTTCTTTTCATATGTATCAGCAGATATGGGCCCATATCGGGCTATTTCAGATCTGTATTGGTCGATACAAGCTAAGTCTAATTTCTTCATTAATTAGTTAATTACTCCTATATTGAAGACAAGTTTAAATTGAGCGTTGAATTTTATTGCCTAATTACAATTCTCTCATTAATTCTATTAATTAATAATTCTCTCTCATTAAATTAGTTTTGTTAGTGTAAAACCTACAAATATTAACAATAGCAAGACTTGAACCTTGGTCACTAGATTTTAATGCCCATAATTTCGCCACTAAAGTACTCCGATTTATTTGTTATAATTATATGCATTTTTAGTTTTAAGTCAATTTTCTTTTTTCCTAAATATACTTTGCTTATTCATTTTCTGGTATCGGCTAAAGCTAGAGTATGGGGATATAGAATCTGCAGTGGGAAGAGAGACTCCGCAACTTCACCTGTCCCATGTTTAGATCATCTAACCCCACCATCATGGGGCTTAGTGGTCAAGTCAGGTTGAAAATGGGTACAGGTCGAATGGCTAGCACAAGTATAATTATCCATTTGTAGTTTATTTAAATGGGAGTGCAGTACACTAGTAGACAATTGCACACCCTTAGGTTGTGTTTGGTTGGAGTGCAAATGTTGAATCGTTACAAATTGTAATCCTGTTCAGATTTGCATATATTTAGTTATACTTTAAGAAATAATTGGTTTTTATGCAAATTTGTATATAGACTTGGGTTTGTATCGAGGAGAGGAGAAAAAATTTCTTCCTTAAAACGAAAGAATAATTTTCTCCGTAAATTAATCAACATCCATAATATAAAACAAAAAATAACAAAAGAATAAAAAAAAACGCCTAGGTATTAGTTGCCCTTGTGTAAATCTGCTGGCTTGCATGTGCAGACACCATCCTAATAAGACCTCTTGCCATTAATTCCCTGATAGCCCGCCGTGCCAGCGATCCATTGATCTGGGAGTAAAACAATGAAATGAATGTGTGTACTTGAGTAAAGACAACATGTACAGAGTGGTAGTTGGAGAACAAAAGCATGCTTCAAATTATTTTTGGGATAATAATAATTTACCCAGTTGTCCGAATTTTGAAAGTTGAATCAATACTCAATAGAAGTTACAAAAAATGCACTCAAAAAATCAAAATCACACATTCTGCTAATTGGCAAATAAATATATAAGAAAATAAGCATACACATAAATATGTGTTATTAATGGTATAATATAAGTATCTATAGAGGCTTTGAGATGCTCTACCACCCAAGATAGCTTTGAACTTGGTGCTCTGCCACTGTTTCAACTTTCTGCTTTTGTTTTCACTTTGCACGCCATTATACAAAGAAACAGTATTATAAAAGGCATACGGGTGAGTCTGATTTTAGGGGGGCGTATTCTCACCTGGATTATTGCTATATGTTGATGAACTAACCTTAAACTTGAGGTTTGACGAGGTAATTTATCATATTATAGACTGAAATTATTACTTTTAGAGTTTGAATAGTATAGCCTATGTTGGATTTAAACCTTCAACCTACAATCATTGTACTACCATAATGAAGCTCTAACGAATTCACCTAAGAAGACTTTCTTTTCAAAATTTTGATTCCATATCGTTGTATAATAAATTCTTTTTTTATAGGTGACCCCCAACTTCATTCAGGCGAGTGCCTCATGCATCAGTCTCAGGCTCAGACTCTAGGAACTCCACTGCACATTCATTAAACACAAAATATACACAACTCATGCAAGACCTGTCCATGTTAAAAGGCTCGTACAATATAGTACGCATGTCTCAGAGGAGTTCTTCATATGATAACATGTCCCAATTGATATTTTTATCACTTACTCCTCTTCCTCAATATCTAAGAGATTTTTCAAGTCAATTCCTATGTTAGGGCTATCCTACAAAGTATTATTATTATCTTTTTTTCAGTTGCACAAACAGTAAATTATCAGAAACAAATGTACCATATCATCATCATCATCCTTATCCCAACTAAATGGGTTCAACTACATGAGTCCTGTTTCTTCAATTCGTTCCATTTAAAGCCATTCATTGTTAAATTATTAGTGTCTATTGATGTCCTTTTTGGTCTACCCCTAGCCCTACTAGCCCTTTCAACTTGTAACAAATTACATCCTGTAATCAGTGCTATTGATGGTCTTCTATGCTCATGCTCAAACTATCTTAGTCTACTTTCAGCTCATCCATCTTAGCATTTGCATTTCTACCAAATTCATTTTCTAGACATGTTTTTTGACTGCCCAAAACTCTGCTCCATACAACATAGCTGGCTTTGCAACTGTTTTTTAGAATTTTCCTTCTAGTCTAAGTAGTATCCACCTATCACATAAAAGTACAGATGCATCCCTCCATTTTGTCCGTCCAGCTCTAATTCTTTGAGTGACATACTCCTCAATCTCTCCTTAATTCTTTAGTGACATACTCCTCAATTTCTCCTTTATTATGAAACGCCTATTCAATACCTTGCAATATTTCATTACAATAGCAATATAGGTACATGAAATAGGGTTGAAATACTAACTACAGTTGTTAATCTCTAACCAACAACAAAACGAAAACCATTTATAAATGTTCCTCACTAGAACTAATAGTCATCACTTCATCGATGTCAGACTTCAACCGGTAATTTTAATGTCTGATGAATCGACAATATCGTGTTCAAAAAAGAAAATTCATTGTTTATTAAAACTAAACCATTAACTCAAGAAGTTGTCAAAGTATAAAAGGAGAAAAGCTTAATAATTTAACATATGACAAGTAAAATAGCAAGGAAGACAACTTAACAAATGACAGGCTTACCCTTAATCTGTCAGACAAAATGGAAGGGGTGATGAGCTTATATTTGGGTGCTTCCGATAGGAGCTTGTCGTAGGTCGCCTGGTCAAACAAAACCATGTTGTTCACCTTCTCCTTTTGCTTTCCCTTGCTCCACTTCTGTGTCATTGAAAGTAAATAATAAATATATATTAGTAAATAATAAAAATACATATAATAGTAAATAATAAATACATATAAATAATAAAAACATCCGTTTTTCCTAAATAACAGAAATCAGACTGACTAAAACCAAAATCAAATCGAGCCTCAACAATGAAAATAGTCCCCAGACTGCAAAAAATAATAAGAATAAATAAAATAAAAATGAATTAATCAATAGACAGATGAGATCGTGTAAAAAACAGAGGTGGAAGATAGGCATTATTTAAACCTTCTTCTTCTGTTTACCGCCCCCAGATTTGGCAGGCTTAGAAGATGGAGGAGGAGCCTTTTCTTTCTTTGGCGCCTGAAAACAAAATAGCAAGTTCGTTAAGGGTCAGTTCCTCGTCTGAATTTACAGGAACAGCAAAACTAATGGAATTAGCATGTAAAGTTGGTAATAATGAGAGGTAAAAAAAAAAGCAATGCGTACCATCCAATTTGAAGCAGTGAATAGTTACAGAGGAGGAACGAGGGCCCTGACGATGTGGAGATGCAGGTGCCTTGGAAAAACCCTTGATCTGGTTTTCGGTGATTTTATACGAGAGGTCTGATCTGAATCAATCAATTCAATATGGCATGGGATTTCTGAAAAAGCAATCCAGCCGCACATCGGGAACATCTGTCTACTTGTACGGAAGATATTATAGATGACTTAATCTCAGTGTTCACATGGTCCTTGAGCCGACTTACCTTATAGTCTAAAACACTTTCTATAGTTTAAGACCTATTTAATTAATGTATCTTTCACAAGAATTGTTTGTTTTGCCATATGGTCAACAAAACTTAGTGAAAATGTTTAAGGGCATGGCCTAGGGGTGATCTTTTCAGCCCGGCCCGGAAAATCCGGGCTTGGGCCTAGGTTTTTTTGTTAAGATTCGGCCTCGGCCCAAACGGGTTGGGCTTGGGCCTAATTTTTTAGGCTCGACCCTAAATATATATATATATATATATTATTTAAAAATATTTGATAATTGATGTTTTATATATTAAATAGAGATTTGTAGGAAATTAAATATTTTAATCTTAGGGTCCTAGATCTTATCATATTCTAATTTAGTATTTAATAAAATATAGAAATTACTAAACCCTAATCTTTCCATTCTCGATTCTCTCTCTCTCTCACCAATTTTACAAAACCACTGCCCAATTTCACAAAACCACCAATTGAAACTTATAAATTACAAAGTATAATTATTTAATTTCTTTTATGTTAGTATTTTTTATCTTGATATTAAATTTAAAGTTTCATACAGGTACTATAGTCTCCACGATAATAACTGAAAAAAAAAGGTATAATTGTTAGATTTTGGAACTGAAATACACCAATTAGGCTCGAAACCTTGGCCTGGCTCAGCTCGGGCCCAAGCTTATAATTTTAGGCCCATAATGCGGAACGGGCTCAAGCCTAGCCTCAGCCCATTGTTATGAAGGCAAAGCCCGGATTGGCCCATGATCACCCCTGCCATGGCCTCATGATTATTTATTTCAAAAGTACCCTTACCACTTCTTTGCACAACAAACAAAATTGACCAAATAGAGCCAGATAGAGTAGTTGCTCGTGTCTTTGTAGGGACAAAAATGGTATGCTCATTTTTATTTTCTTTTGATTAAATTTATTGAAATGGACATTAGGGCCAAAATTGTCATTTTTTACAATCATCTAATGGAAGGTAAATTAAATAAATGGATTGCAAACTATAGGGGTGTTTTATTAAAACTCAAACTATAGGTAGGTTTTAGTAAATCCATGAAATTGTAGGGAGCATTTTAGTAAATGGCACTTGCATAAGGAGATGACAGTGAATAATTATAGGGAGATGCCAATGAATAGTGAATAGTGACCGATGAATAGTATGATTAGAGGGTTAACAATATGAATAGTGAATGATGGAGCCAATGGAGAAAAGAATATGGAGATGAGTATGTTATGCAAAAAACATATTGAAAACAGTGATTGAAAATATTTCTTAATATAATGAAAACAGAGATTGAAATATTTCTTAATATTGATAATTATAGAGATATAGATCAAACAGATAGATTCTTAATGATGATACAACAACATACAATCTCTTACAAAATTACAAAGCTCACAAACAACACACTTCTAAGATCACTCGGAAAAAAAACACTCAAACTATTACAAAGCATTGAGAACTAGGAGACTTCTGCACTTCGGAAATTTTTTGAACACTCTAAACAAAGAGAAGAGCTCCTTATATAGAGGCTGCCGAAGCTTCGAGAGAGAGACAGTGATGAGCCACTTTATTCGTTCTTATCTTCAAGGCTTCTATTATTGAGATGCCTTTTAACTTTTCCTTCGCGCATCTGAATTATTAAGTTGGTAACTTATCTTCATATTGTCCTATTAAGACCAACTGACGTAGCTTTTACTATTCAGGATGAGATGGAATATTCAATTAGTGACTTGAAGAGTGACCTTAGTGCGGGCTGAGAGATCGGACACTCTGTCTCGATGTCCTTCGAGATTCCTTTACTTTTTTCTTTCATTCTTTTGGCCATTCGAAGGGACATGTCTTCGAGTTCTTTCATCTTCCTCTGAAGCGGGTTTAGGGGTCTTTGTGAGATGAAATTTATCCCACCACTTAATTTCAACTATGTATCAAGATGGTAACTCCATTTTAGAATCCAAGAAAGACGAAATGTTTTAATGAATTCGAATTGCTAATGTTTCATTACATTCTTTTTTCATAGTATATAATTTCGGACTCATATTGATGTATTTTTAAGATTTATTTTAATTTTCCAAACATATTTTAATTTTCTCACCATATTTATACCTAACCAAAGCATATCTCAATTTATCTTCTTAGAAATGCCTTTCCAATTATTTGAACTATCGTCCTAAATATACTTTGCTTATTCATTTTCTGGTATCGGCTAAAGCTAGAGTATGGGGATATAGAATCTGCAGTGGGAAGAGAAACTCCGCAACTTCACCTGTCCCATGTTTAGATCATCTAACCCCACCATCATGGGGCTTAGTGGTCAAGTCAGGTTGAAAATGGGTACAGGTCGAATGGCTAGCACAAGTATAATTATCCATTTGTAGTTTATTTAAATGGGAGTGCAGTACACTAGTAGACAATTGCACACCCTTAGGTTGTGTTTGGTTGGAGTGCAAATGTTGAATCGTTACAAATTGTAATCCTGTTCAGATTTGCATATATTTAGTTATACTTTAAGAAATAATTGGTTTTTATGCAAATTTGTATATAGACTTGGGTTTGTATCGAGGAGAGGAGAAAAAATTTCTTCCTTAAAACGAAAGAATAATTTTCTCCGGTCATCAGTCGAAGTAAATAGGTATTGTCATTGCATCAGTAAATAGGTATTGTCATTGCGAGCGAGAAAGGTAACTCTAGTGATCTCCACGATCTCTAAAATTTAAGATAGGTAAATCTGTTCCCGTTTTGATATTTGGTCTCTCATTTTCTTTTTTTTTTCCTGTTTTCAGGTCATCTACCTCTCTAGAAGAAAGATTTTCTCCAAATCCATTATTTGTCTTCGTTTTTACCTTCATTTTCCGATTGCATATTTGGCTTGGTATCTGTATGTCTTGGTGTGATGGTGCTTGTTCATATTGTGTTTTAAATGTCTTCGGATATATATGTTGGACCAAAGGTTTATACCTGTCTCTCTGCTCATAGAGATTGCTATAGGTTAGATTTATTGAGAAATTGAGTATCTTCTAGTGCTTCAAAAGGTTCTTGTTGTCCCGATTTCTCTCTTTCTGTTCCAGAAGATCATTAAGCATATAGCAAGTTTTCTCAGGGTTGAAAAGGAACCCAAGTCGTTTTGCATCTATTTGTACTGTTATGTGGTTGTTATCATGTTAGATGTTACAAAGAGATGATTCAAAAAATCAAAACAGAACCAAGGAGTAAACTCATTTTTACCTGCTCAGAATTAACAAACTAATCATTCCCAGTTAAAATTATAATAAAATGAACACTCCCTTTTTCTATTGAGTACCATGGTTTGTCCTTTCCAATAGTGGACATGGGAAATATGTCTCATAAGGAACTCCACATTCTCCACCAGAGTTTGGTGTTTTGTATATTGATCCAGAGCTTTCAAAGTCTCTGTAAATGTTATAAACAAGGAATTATATCAGCTAGCTATTGAAAAAAGATGAAAAAGAGCAATTCAAGCCCATAGAGGCTTGATATATTTACCATTAGTTTTCTCATATGTTCTTCTATAAGCATCCACAAAAAAAAAAGAGTTTATAAGTGAGAAACAATACCTTTCATGGTTGCCAATTGCAATCATATAAGAGACCTGAGAAGCCATAGGTTTGATGGGGTGAAGAAAGAAATAAGTGGAATAAGGCTTGTTCAAAAAAACTAATGAATTCTGAGAACATAATGTGTTCGGTTTTTGTTTTTATTCTATCAAGGAAAAAAAATATGGTAAAGATAATCTTTCGAATTGGTCTCTCTTTTGGTAACAAGAATTATGATTATGATGGTCACTTTAGCTAATCTATACATTCAAGCAGTGTTGTAGGGAATCTGCTAAAATGGATGAAGCCATTTAAATCATAATGTTATTTTCAAAGTGGGGAATAAAAAGAAAAAGAAATCCGTCACTGCATTATGAGAACAAGACAATCATTCTTAGTTATGGAATTGCAAAATTCAAACCAAGGCATATGTGCTGTGAGCGTCGGAAAAACCGAGCTCACTTGCCACTTGGGCTGAGAATGGAGTTGCCACCCATTAAACATGAAATTGGAGTTGATGGGGCCCACATGGGATGCTGACAACAAATATCTGCATACTAAAAGACTAACAACCTGAATTCATTAAAGATTTAAAACATATTACTAAACTTAAATGAACCTAAAAGAAGCATCAACCGGTCATCACAACAAAGAGAGCACGACTTGATACAACAAAATCTGGAAAGAGCATGTAACAATAAATAAACAACAAAGATGAAACTCAAAGCATCATAACTAGAAGTAAACACTTATACTAATGATATTCGGTAGAAGCAAAGTAGAATAAAAAAACTACTTGATAAAATGCATCAAAACTAGCTAAATTCGTTGTTCGGGATGGTGGAATTAAAAGCTATCTGAAGAAATTCCAAATTCTGAAATAATACCGAATTGAAAATTGATTAACAAAACATATCAGAAGCTGAACTAATAGTTTAGTGAGATACGTAAGGGAATTAACGGAGTTAAAAGCTATTTGAAGAAATGAGAAATTCTGAAATAATGCCGAATTGAAAACTGATTAACAAAACATATCAGAAATCGAACCAACACAGTTTAGTGAGATGCATCAGATAATAAACGGAATTAAAAGCTATCTAAAGAAATGATAAATTCTGAAACAATACCGGATTGAAAACTGATTAACAAAACATATCAGAGGCCGAACTAATATAGTTTAGTTAGATGCATTAGAAAAATAACGACAAAGGAAAAGACAAAGACCTATTGTTACAGTTCGGTAAATGTATCAGAGAAAATCTAAGAAAGAATAGGAACGGAACCGACTAAACTTTCTATCCGACGGCCATCACTTTGCATGAACTACAAACTATCTGAAAGAAGAACAATATACCCCCAGGCGTTCATCTTTAGTAAAAAAAATCCAACTCAAAGAAGAAATGTAACATAGAAACCGAACTGAAACTAAGAAAAACTAGTAGGATTAGGCAGAGTATGGGAACTCATAGAAAATCGATTCTTTCCCTTTCTCATCCCTGGTTCACAAATATATAAAAGTAAAAAGAGAAAGGATAAAATAAACTAAAATAGAGAGGCAGAAATCTGATTGGGGGATTACCTGACTGCGCTGATTCCCAGGACGTCGCCGGCTACTACAAAGGTTGGCCGAACTTCAGTAGGAATAAGGTTGGTCCACTTCAGGATCTCACAGAGTCCCGGATTGTCTGGCATAATCAGGCACCGATGCTGCACAGGAGTGTTCGTTCCAAGCAGGAGTTAGCTATACAACTCCTTTGTTCTGCGTTGAAGGTGGGATAGACGACAACAGGAACTAGCGATGGAGAAAACTATGCTTTTCAAAACAAATAGAACTAGAGGAAGAGAATAGGGGAGAGTCGGTGGTGGTAGAGATTCCGTCTCACCGCCACTGTGTTACTGGTTCTGGCGGAAGGTGAGAAGGACAAAGGAGAGGATGAAAAAAAAAGACTGAGAGAGGAGAGAGAATAAGGGAAGGGGCTCGGCAAAATCGCAGAAGGAAGATGTTCTTCTCTGCTCCGCCACTGGTTCGAGTAGAGAAGAAGATGAACAGTTAACTCTTCGATTCTTCCCGATTAAGGCGAATGAAGAGTTTACGTTGAATTTATATGGGAAGCGGGGCATTTTCATAATTTTGAGTCAAATGGGGTATTTTGGTAATTTTTAGAAGGCTAGGTTAAACTGGGTCTAAGAGGGTCAAACCGGGTTCTTGGTTCAATGATGGGTGGTCTCGGGTCAAAAGATAGAAAGTTGAGATGAGTGGGTTTGTGTGTGTGGGGAGAGTGGGTTTGTGTGTGTGGGCTAATAGGATTGATAGATATATAATCTTTTTGGATGAAGAGGCAAATAGGGGTATTGATTGAAATTTCATGGGGTGGGGCTTTTAGACATTCTAAGTCAGCTGGTGGGGTCAAATTGGTCCGGACAGGCTTGGATTGGGGTAGATGTGGAAAGGAATCGATATGATTAATTTGAGGGCTCGAAATAGAATATTTGTGTGATGAAGGAGAAAATAAAGATAGTTTTGGGTGAAATTTCTATGGGAGGGATTTTTGGTTTGAGATGACTGGTAAAATAAAATTGAGGCAACTGGGCCCAAACGGAGCAGATTTGGAATGAGCTTTAAAATGGAATCTTTGTGTAATTTAGGGTAAATGAAGGTGTTTTGGGCTGGAATTTCATATGGAGGGGTTTTTGGGTATTCTGGAGTGGTTGGGAAAGTTTGATTGGTTTAGATGTGTTTGGATCAAGCGAAGATGGGTTGTGGGTGTGAGAATGGTCAAAATGAAATCTTTGCTTGATGGACGGGTGAACGAAGGAATCTTGAGTTCAAATTTAATGGGTAGGTGCTTTGGGATGTTCCGGGTCTGATGGTCGTGTCTGATTTAATGGTTGAGGTGTAAGTGAGGGTCGATCGGGGCCATCGGATAGGTATCAAGTAGGTTTAACGGTGTATTTGAGGGCTCTCGGGGTGAAATTTGGGTTTTCTAGGTTTTTGGGTGTTTTGGAGAGGTCGGAAGAGTCTTATTGGGTGTTTGGGGTGAATTGGAAGTTCAGGCAGCGAACTAAGCAAAAATCAGATGTTGACAACTGCCCCTCTTTGTTGTGAGGTAAGAAACTATGAAACAACAAAGACAAAAGAAGCACACAGAGATTTTTCGAATGACAAGCTTAGAAGAAGGGCAAGACGAGGAAGGAGAATTATAGTAAGGGAAGGTAAAGAAGAAGGGGAATTCTTGGCAAAGCGACCTTCCCTAAGTATCAAGAACCATCAGAATCAAGTTACATTTGCCCTAAAAGAAAACGATTTATAATAGGAAAAATATTTGGAGAAAAGACCCCTCCTTACGGAATCAGGGATATGTCTGTGAAACTAGATTTGAGTAAACCTACAAAAAGAATTGCATCTAGATAAATATGCGAAATCTGGATAAAAGTAAATATACGAAATTTGGAAATGGAAAAATCTGGGTTAAAGTAAATCTACGAAATCTAGATCTGGGTAAGCTTACGAAAAAATTGTATTTGGATAAATATGTGAAAACTGTATTAAAGTAAATCTCAAAAATCTAGATCTGGTAAATCTATGAAAAACTGGACTAAAGTAAATCTGGATCTGGGAAAAATACGCGAAAACTGGAATTTAGTAAATCTAGGAAATCTGGATTTGGGATATCTGTGAAATCTAGGATAATCTACAAAAAACTGAATTAAAGAAAATCTGGGGAATCTGGATCTAGGATATCTGTGAAAAACTTGACTAAAAGTAAATATGGATCTGGGAAAAATCTATGAAAACTGGAATAAAGTAAATCTATGAAATCTGGATTTGGGAAATCTGCGAAAAACTGAATTAAAGAAAATCTGAGAAATCTGGATTTGGGATATCTGTGAAAAATTGGACTAAAGCAAATCTAGATCTAGGAAATCTGTGAAAATTGGAATAAAGTAAATCTAGAAAATCTAGATCTAGGATAAAAATGTGAGAAATTGGATTAAAGTAAATCTATGAAATATGGATCTTGGAAAATCTGGATTAAAGCACATCTGTATCTGAAAAAAATCTGAATTAAAGCATATCTAGATCTGGAAAACTAGATTAAAGTAAAGCTGGATTCTAGATCTGGGAAAAACTATGAAAAACTAAATTAAAGTAAATTTGGGAAATCTGGACCTGGGATAAAACTGTAAAAAACTTGACTAAAGTAAATCTGGATCTGGGAAATATGTGAAAACTGGAATAAAAGTAAATCTAAAAAATTTGGATCTAGGATAAAACTGTGAAAAATTGGATTAAAATAAATCTGCGAAATCTGGATCTTGGAAAAACTGGATTAAAGTACCTCTAGATCTGGAAAAATCTGGATTAAAGTACATATGGATCTAGAAAACTAGATTAAAGTAAATCTAGATTCTGGATCTAGGAAAAACTGCGAAAAACTAAATTAAAGTAAATATGGGAAATCTGGATCTAGGAGAAAGCTATGAAACTGGAATAATGTAAATTTGTGAAATCTGGATCTAGGAAAAAGTTGTGAAACTAGAATAATGTAAATTTGTGAAATCTAGATCTAGGAAAAAGTTGTGAAAACTGGAATAAAGTAAATATGTGAAATCTAGATCTACGAAAATCTAGATTAAAGTACATTTGAATTTGGGAAACTAGATTAAAGTACATATGGATTTGGGAAACTAGATTAAAGTACATTTGGATTTGGGAAATTGGATTAAGGTCTATGAAATCTGGATCTGGGATAGAACTATGAAAAACTAGAATAGAGTAAATCTGGGAAATCTGGATGTAGGATAAATCTATGAAAATTTGGATTAAAGTAAATCTGCGAAATCTGGATCTTGGAAAATTTGGATTAAAGTACATATGGATCTGGAAAAATCTGGATTAAAGTACATCTAGATCTGGAAAACTGGAATAAAGCAAATATGGATTCTAGATCTGGGAAAAATTGTGAAAAACTAAATTAAAGTAAATCTATCACTAAGAAAGACATGTGAGAGACAAACAAATCAATCATTAAGACAAAGGTTCAAAATTCTTACGAAGCACAACCACAAAACACCAACAAATATTCTTTTGTGTTTTTTAGAACATTTTGGAAGATTTGACAGAGTTTCAAACATTATTCTTCTCTTTTTTCCTTTCCTTTTGTTATTTTTTTCATTATTTGTATCATCTTTATTTACTCCATTAAAACTAGTACTAGTCAAGGGAAGGAGATTTACAAATGGGATTTCTAACACGGGTCAAGGCATAAAGGCTGACATGATCGATGGATTTTCTGGATAAGCAAAAGTATATGATGTGATGGTAAATCCAAGATAGAAGTTGAGTATGCACTAAAAAGGTCAAGCATCTCAAATTGTGGCATAAGTATTTAATTATCGAGCAGAGCACATGGGCATGAAATCTAGGAATGGTAAGAAGGGAAAACATTAAAACTCAAGGGTAAGAGTGCCTTCAACATTGACTCATATGAGAGTAATTATGTCAAAAAAAGTCCATGTCTAGTTCGCATCAAATGAAAGCATATATCTGGTCACTACTCGTTGAGCTCATAAGCATGTGTGATGGAATTGTAAATTGTTGAACAAGGGATTCGTCGTAAGAAAAGCCCTATCATAGGGGGTCCGCCCCAATTTTTTTCTCTTCCTTTTTCTCTTTTCTTTTCTTTTTTTTTTTTGTTGAACAAAAGAGGTAAGCTATGAAGTTGATATTTTAATGGAGAAAGTGACGATTATGATCCTTCATCGTCGGCCAAATAGGTTTGTCTAGTGCTAACTTGTTGATTTTTCAAACATCGAGGAGGTCTTGTTTATTAGGATGAAACATGGTATGGGATAAAAGTTACAAATGATGGGTTAAGAGGCTCAAATAGCAATTAATATAGGCATCAAATGCATGGATCATCTCTTGGGAAATTTGATTGAGAGTAGCTCTAATCATCATATTTTCGTCATCATTCCTTTCTTCCTCTTCTTTTTTTTTATTTTTTTATTAAGGTTTTTTCTTCTTAGCCATATGGAGACTACTCTTCATATTCTTCATCAACATGAATCGTGCCTTCTTATTAATCAAGAAGGACTTTATTTTGGGACGAAATGTAATGGGTAGGGAAAATCAAAACTAACATGTGGGTGTCATCATAGAAACTCCCATAATGATGAAATCACCTTAGTGGACCCAGTTTCTTTTGACTGCTTCTTGATTCTCCATTTGTCAATTCACTTTTGCATCAATCTTCATTGATAATTGCTCCACTTTACTTGAGCATTTAATTCTTAACAAAGCTGCCAAAAGTTTTTTTTCTCTCTTTTTTCTTTTTGCTCTTGCGCGATTGCTCTAATCACATTCTACTTATTTTGACACCCACTCACTAGAATGTGTTTATTGCGAAGAAAAGATTGATAGGAAGGCTCAAAGGGCCAACTAGGGGATTTTAATATATTATCAGGATGGAATGCACAAGGACAAGCAAGTGGCCAAGGATGGTCTCCATTTCATTATTGACTGCACGTTGCATATTAAAAAAGCATATGTTGAGCATAGTATATGTCGAGCAAAGCCCTTTGGGCATTCTCCTTCCTGTCTCTCTTTCTTTTGTTTTTGTTTTTTTTCTCTCTTTTTTCTTTTTCTCTTCTTTCTTCTTTCTTTTTTTAGCCCTTTGATGATCCCTAAAGTGCATTCTACGGATTGGCTAGTTTGCCGAAAAAAAGGTCTAACGTATAAGCTCAACTAGTTAACTAGTGACTTTTGCAAATTCAAAGGATCAATGAGGAAAGAGGAATAACTAAGGATGCCTTCAAGTCATTTCTTTAATTAATCGACAGAGCATTAGGTTAGAATTGTGCCTTTATTCTATGCGAGCTCAGGCAATATTCAAAGGGAATGTGCTATGCTTGAGCAGTTGCAGTTCTGCCCTAGTTTGGACAAAGAAGATGGCTTTATTATGGATTGGGGGATCTAAAGGAAGTTCAACTAAAGAACTCTTGATCAACAACTGACTTTTCTTCAAGCATGCTTTTGGGATAGACAACCCTTAATGGACTAATCACTCTTATATGAATAAGCATCTCAGGCAAGGGAAAGAGGAATGGGGGAAAATAATATTTTATTTACAGAAGTGGCCGAACCCATGAGATTGGCTGCTTTATGTACCCCTTTGAAAGGGATCAGGCCAGATGTAGTTCAAAATGGAACTGGGCCACATTAAGGAAGAAACAATCAGATTTGCTAGTTGAGAAGTGATGAAAAGAATTTTGTGCCACGACTCGATAACTAATCTGATAATATACGCCAAGTTACGGGTCTAGGTCAAAGCATTCTTACACCTTTCCTTTCGAAATTTGGATTTTATTTTATTTTTTTCTTCTCTCTTTTCTCTTCTTTTCTCTTTTTTTTTGAATTTTCCTATTTTTTTTTATTTTATCTCTTTTTGTCTCCTTTTTCTTTGCATTGACTAGTTTTGCATCAGAATAACTGGGAATCACTAGATTAGTATCCAAACTAGGCATATCTCTATAAGCCCATGCAAAAAATCACTATTTCCACCAAGCCCGCTCTTTGCTCATGGGACAAGTCTGCTCGGTGCTCCAGTAGATACTTCCTTTGGCTCACCTTCAATACCCAAATTTATGGCCTCAAATTCTATTTTTGGATTATTCTCTCCAAATCACTCTATTTGATCAAGAAGCTCTTTCGGAATTTTCACACCAGGATCTTCTTGTTCAATGCCCATGAAGGTGAAGTCTAACTTAATATCAAAATCGTACAGCTCAAGTGTGAATTCCTGGAACAAGAAAGTAATGAGGGGAAATATGAAATACTTACGATAGGGGTCAGACCCGTGATATGGGCAGCACTATGTACCCTTGTGAAAGGGATCAGGTCGAACGTAGTTCCGCTAGTGTCATGGAATGACATAAAACATTATTGTATTCTGACTATTTACATTAGAAACTCTCAATATGAAAAAAAGTGGGGTAGAGAGCATTGATTCCCCACTCTGGCATTACAATTCAAACCTGAAAAAATGATTTAATTTCATTGTCGGCTCCCAATACTATGGGACAGGCACTCCAACCGGTAACCTCTCCTAGGCGGATTAAATGCGTTGGATCGACATGATCATCTTGGTCCATCTCGCAAACACTACCATTATAAAGCTTTGTGCCAAGCCGGGGATGAGATTCTTCTCCCTCTTTCGGATTAACAAAGATCCCCATTCCACATTTTATGAAGTTGATGGACAAACTGGGACCAGCTCCATGATTAGGGAGAGGGTTTTGTGTTATGCTTATACCTGGTTGTGGTGAGGGGTCTGATATTGGATTGAAGGTAATTAGGTTCTTGTCAATCAAATCCTGGATAGCAAACTTTAATGTTATGCAATGATCTGTGGTCTGGCCGGGCCCCTGGTGAAATGCACAATATGCATTCTCATCATAATGCTTGGGTTTGGGCTCTTGAGGCGGCTTCCACTTCAATAGTTTCAAGTATCCTTCTTGAACCAAGGTAGGCAATAACTGAGAATGGGGATATAGGATATGGATGAGTTCCCTCCATTCCCTGCAGGGATGAGGACCCGTCGGGGGATAAATATGAGGCATGTTGTTGTACCTGGTAGGGGGATGTTGGGGGTTTACTGTAAGTGCAGGTTGATAGGGCATCATCGGGTTCGGTGGTTGCGATGTAAGTGGAGGGTTCATTACCAAAGGTGGTCTGGCAGGTACAGGTTGAGCCTAAACGATGGCTACAAAGCCAGTTTGTGGAAGGGGATAGGTGGAGACTGCATGGATCTCAGTTTCAGCCTTCAACCTGGGTGAGGGTCTCTTTGGTCCAAGAGTAGAGTTTGGTCGAGATTCCTACCCCAGATATGACGGGATTCATATGCCCGTGACGCATAGACTCTTCTATCCTCACAACACTCTTGACAACATCGCTGAAGTCCTTTAATGGTTGGGCCACTAACAGTGTATGGTAGGGATCCTTCAAGGTCCTAATGAAGGTCCTAACCATTTCCTCTTTAGGCAGGGGACGGCGGAGCTTGGCTGCCACCTCACACCAGTGGTAAGCATAGTCTAGGAATGATTCCCCTGACTTCTGACTCATTAATTCCAAATCGGCTTAGTCTAGTACCAACTCCATGTTGTAAGAAAAATGATCAAGGAATGCCTCCGAAACTTTTTTCCACAATTTCT